TCTCCTTATGTTGTCTCCTTTGCTAGATTGTAAGTTCCTTGAAGACAGAGAGGTATCTCTCTCATTTGTGACATTTGTACTCCCTAGCATAGAATATTTCACACACTGGGAACTTACCATTTGATTAATTGACCAAATCATTGGATTGAGGGTTCCAAAGGACCTAGGAGATAATCTGATCTGCCACCCTGTTCCTCAGTGAACCAATTATGAAAGATTTTGTTTCTATTCTCTTTAAGAACCTCTGGCAAAGATGAATCTATAGTTCCAAGCTTCTTAATGATACATTAGAGGTCTGTCATTTTATCACATTAAGCACACTTTTCTCCCCTCCTCCCCAACTCCCCCAACAATCCATGAACAACTTTTCTATCGCTTAGTGACTTGCCGTATCAGAAAAGTTCAGCATCTTACATCTAGCCTGGTGTCAAGCCCCGTTTCAGCTGAGCTCTGCTGGTCTTTGGACAGCAGACATGTAGTCCAGTACTGGGCCCATACTCAAAGGACTTTCTGCCTTCATGTAGTGTCTTTAAAGGTTGCTGGCATGGTCATAGAACATTTGGAGTTATCTTTCTGCTGTGATGAGTCATCTGTATAGAACTTGAGTAGAGGAATAGTAGTGACCATGCACTATTGTATAGTGCTTTATGTTATTTTCCTCACACAGTAACCCTGTGGGGGGGGTGTTACAAGTACTATCACTTTTATTCTTTAGTAAGTCAATATACACATTTTTAAAGCACCTATTATATACCACTCACTGGGGATACAAAAAACAGGCAAAAGCCAATCCCTATCTTAAAGGAGCTTACAATCTATTGGATTAGGAGACAGATTCAAAGACATGACATCCCCAAGAGCCAGATGTGAACCAGAACTAGGACATTTGAGTCTTAGTCTGGTGCCTGGCACATAATAGATGCTTAATAAATGTTTGTTGATTGACTCTTTCCACTTATGTGCTATTTTCCCTCTTATGTACCCTAAATCTGTCCAGCAACAATTTAAGTCTGTCCCTCCTTGTCCTGTGTTAGTAGGTTTCCAGGTACATCAAGACATGCTCTCTTAAGTTCTCTCTTTAGCCTTTTATACTTTATTGGGGTGTCTTGTTTTATGGGTCCATTCCTGTTGTGAACAAGGGTGACTTTGAATGGATGAATTAAGTCACAGACACCTTTTAGGAATAGATTACTTTTTCTAAGTGAAAACAATCCAAGTTTGAAACATGAGTTGCCTAGAAATCACCTACTGCCACTGTTGCTATTGGTACATGAACTTGTCTTTCCCTCTCAGCCCTTTCTGTTCTGTCTTGGTCATTGGTTTTATTTTGTGTGTGTGTGTGGTGTTCTTTAAACAGCCAGACTCTACTGTGGTGTGTTGTACACCAGTGAATGCATTTTTGCAACAGATTTCTTGTGACTGCAGGGACCATGGCACATTCTTAAGATTTTTACAGTCCATTAGAGATGCTGAATTAGGTTTTTGTTTACATAATGCCAGATAGCTTCAGAGTGTGTGTGTGTGTGTGTGTGTGTGTGTGTGTGTGTAAGACCAGCTGATTGAGTTGTTTGATAGTGTGTGGAAACCTGTTTTGATAACTGTTCTGTTTAACTGTATTTTACAATGTAATTGGACCCTTCAGGAGAGAAATAGTTTATTCTAGAAGCTAGGAACAACTAGGTGTTTAAAATTTGTTTTTAAAAGAAAAGAAAATTGCTGGAAAAGAAAATCCCTTAGTAAGGAACAAAGAAGAGTTAGGTTGAGAGATAAAATAATTTGAATTTTCCATTTTTCAACCAGATAGTATCAATTAGACCAATGCCTTTAAATATCTTTTCAGGAATACAGTACTTACTATACTAATGAAGAAAACCTAGCTATTTAGCAGACCTTCTTTTAGCATCCTTTATATGTGTGGGCATTTACTCTTAATAGGATGTGCCTATCACCCTGGCTCATCATGGAGCTTACTAACTTGCCTGTAGAAGTAACGTGTGATAGAAACTTTTTTTAAGTTATCATTTATGTTGCATTGTTTTTGTTGTTGTTTAATCATGTCCAACTCTTGGTGACCCTAGGGACCAAAGCATGCCAGGCCCTTTTTTGTCTTTACTATCTCTCGAAATCTAAGTTCATGTTTGTTGTTTTCATGACACTATCATCCATCTCACCTTCTGTCATCCCCTTTTCCTTTTGCCTTCAATCTTTCCCAATATCAGGGTCTTTTCCAGCAAGTCCCATCATCTCATTATGTGGCCAAAGTATTTAAGCTTCAACTTCAGTATTTGATCTTCCAGTGAATAGGCTGAATTAATTTCTTTCAGTATTGACTGATTTGATCTCCCTGCTGTCCAGAGGACTCTCAAAAGTCTAATGTTGCGTTAGCCCAGAGGTAAACTATAGGAAATTTGACTTTTCAGAGAGGAAAGAACTGGCTGCAAAAAAGTAATTCTTGAGTACTTGATAGAAAATTAAGAGAAATTCCAGTTTTGTTATTTTGTCATCCAAAGGATTTCCTGACTGCCTGTGCCTGTGAAGAGATACTTTAGAATGAGACTTGATCTGCATTTCAGCAGAGGGCACCTGTCCACCTCCCTGAACTCAGAAAAAAGAGCTGATAGACTTAGAATATGATGTTTGACTTGCTGTCTGCTGTATCAATCAGATGATAAGGAGAGTAGGTTGTCACCTTTAATGCATTTGACCCCCATTACAAGAGTCTGATTGTTCAAGGAGAAGGCCTGAACATGCTACCTTGATTGGGGTCTATGTACAGGTGGACAATTGGTCTGAGGAGCATTCCTTGCAAGCTGACAAGTTGTTGGACTGTTTACACCGTGATAGCTAGGGTTCAAACTGTAGAATCGTCATGTATTTCCAGATTCTGAAAGCTTGAATCAAAATAGTTTTCTCTGCTGTCTCCTGCTCTGTATTTGTTTTCTTTCAGAGGACATTTCCAGCTCAGATTAAGATATATAATGTTTTCCTGTCATCCTGAAATATACTCATAAAAAGATGGTGGTTTGAAATTTAGGTTTACTCATGTACTTATTCCTGTTGTGAGATGTGACTTCTTCATTGAGGCACTGTTGTGTGAAAATAAGTTATTCTAAAGTGTTGATGGACAAATTCCTACGGTCTTGAAATAACACTTAATGATCTTCCTGGTTTTAGCCAAGGTAAGAATGGCCTGAATGGATGCTGAGTTGATAGAGCTATCTGCTGTAGATTAAAATCTATCCACTTATATTGAAAAACATGGTTATTTGATGATCCAGGGAATGGCTCAATTTCCCTATTTCTAGAAAGCATAATAAATGTTCAGAAGTTTATTAAAAGGAATTGCTTTTTATAACGCATTTCTCATCTCAGTTTGGAACTAAAAGTCAAAATGTACAAATAGGGGAGTGTTTAGCATTTATTAAGGATTAAGCACTTATTAACTTTAAGGTTAATAAAGTAGTAGATCTTTTTATTTATTTTAAATATATTTATTATTGCAAAGTTGTATCATTTGATCCTCACAACAATCCTGGGAGGTAGATGTTATTATCGTTTTCCTTTTATGAATGAGAAAATGAGGCAAACAAAGGTTAAGTGACTTGCTAAGGTCACACAACGAGTCAGTGTCAGAGATGGGGCTTCAAGTTCAGTTCTCTCTATCCCTTGTGCCACCTAGTTAATAGTTGTAGTGTGTTTAGCATGTTCGTGAGTCTTGAAGAGCACCAAGACAGACACTGTCTTCCTTAACAATTGTTGTTTGTCCCTCCTTCTCGAAGAGGAACATGACATCAGGAAGACGATGCCATCACTTACAAGTGAATTGGATTGAAATGAGGGAGGGCTGTGCAAAGTCACCAGCTTCACTTTCTCCTCTGGAGCCATCTGGCACCAGTGGCCAGATATAGATCAGGACAACTGGAGATGGTTCCCCCCTCCCCCCACTCCTTGACATTTATTCTCCATGGACAAGCATTCTTTTTTTTCTCCTAGCAGCTAGAGTTGTTTAGGTATGCTTTTCTTATGTGCACTCCTAAAAGGAATGCCCTTTGTTTTTCAAATGGCTGGTGGCAATGAATGGTAACATTTTTGAAAAGTCTTTGTGTACATCTAAGCATTAATAAACAAATTTTACGTATAATTTCACAAGATTGTAAGAAGTGTTCCTTCATGCAGAATTTAGTTAAACAACTTTAGAAAGCAGTTTTGTGTATGTATGTGTTCAAATGTTTATTTTATGTACAGACTGTACTTTGCCGTATGTGAAATATAACCCAATCTGGACCCATTCCCTTGGATCCTAAGATACTCCCAAACCTTGGGGATAGTCTTTGATTTCCTCCCTGACTTTGTCTCTTGGTTAACAATCAAACTTTGTTTATCCTTCCTTTTGTCTCTTCCTTGTTCTTAGTATCACCGCCCCCTTCTAGAGGGTTCAGGTGCTGCCGGACCATTTCTACTGCCTTTTCTAACATTGCACATTTTATCCCCCCCCCCACCCCTCCAACCCATCGTTTGCCTTCTCAATCTTACCTACCTTCTTCTGCCTATTCAGTGGCTTGCTATTGGCTGTTACATCAGATTTACCTGGCTTTTGAAGCCTTCAGTAATCTGTCCCTACACTTTCTTTGTACTAGAATTTTCAGTCCTCTGATCTATGTTTTCTGTAGTCTGGTCTGTACTCACCAATCTTTTCCATCTCTGACTTTCTATACTATTTGTTGTTTTGTGTCCTCTAGTTCAGCAATATCCAATTTACTGGTTTGTATTGAGATTGAATTCATATAAATCTCAAATCTTCCTTCAGATGGTAAAATTCTCAAAAGCAAGGTCTGCATCTTTATACTCCTTTTTAATACCTGTGTGTAATGTTTGTTCCCAGAATAGATAAGTATTTGTGGGTGGATTCATTGGCCCCATTAGAGTCATTGAAATAGCAGTTGGACTTTTGACTGGTTGACTTCTTTGTGTTTACATGTTCTTTCCTCACCTTTTCACAGCCATCAAAGAGAAGTACACAGACTGGACGGATTTTCTTATACATGATTTGACTGGCTCTCGAACGGCACCCGCCAATTTACTGGAAGGTGTATGTATTATGTATTATGTTGTTTTATAGTTTACTTTTTGATTGGACGGGTCACATTTTACCTGTGCAGACACTCTAGCTTAGGACCCAAAAATACCAAATGTGTTATATTTAGCATAAACAGTTTAGAGCTTATGCCTTTGTGCACCTGATTTGGAGTACACATAGAGCTCTGCATGAATCTTGGCCATTTATCCTCATGGTGATGTAGAATCTTCATCTGTGGTAACATGTGCATCAATCACAACATTACTGTAGTAAATATGGGGCTTACTGTCATATTCTCTAGGACCTCATGTTACAACTGAAGTTAGACACATTCTAGTGCAGACTCTTGGATTAGTTTAATAAATGGTTCCACACTAAATATTTTATTTCAGAAGGATTACCCTGCGGTAAGATAGCTCAAGTGAAAATTAATAACCTAGTAAGCTTTCCTTATGCAAACCAGAATGGAAATAGTTTACTCTGGTTTTTTTTTTTAAAGGATTAAGGTTAATATTAGACTTTTGGTATTAAAACTGTAGGTTGTACTGAAGAAAATAGTATTATAGCTGACAATCATGAGAGTGCCTTTGGAAACATTATTTTGCTTTGACAGACTGTTGTGACAAGACATATTTGTATATTTACTATGTAAAATGAAAATAACAAAATTATTGTACTGAGGTATAAACCATTATTGGACTGAAAAATGAACTGCCAAATATGTTTCATCTGGTTTTGCAGAACCTATCATTTAATAATCCCCTAAAAAAAAAGGCAAAGCGTTTTGGTTTGGCGCCTTTTGTGCAAGAATGCTAAAAATTGAAGAAGCAATCCGTTTAGGTTTAAAAAAGGTGATAGAGTGTGTGGAGTTTTGTCCTTAAGATCCTTCTCCCTTTTACACACACACACACACACACACACACACACACACACACAAAATACGAGCATGCATCTGTCCTCTACTAGCAAATGGCCATCAGTAAGTAAGTTAATCATTTTGACATTTCTTTTAAAAAAACAACCCTCGAAAACTCCAATTTTCTATTTAATTGATGGCTGCTGTCATTATTTGGTATGATTAGAAAATCAAAATGTGTTAGAAATAGATAGTTTACACTACTCTTTTCTCAGCAAGGGTAATTATTTAAATGCCTTTTAATGTGGTAACAATTCTTAATGAGGATTTAAGCTGTTGTAGGTTAAATAAACCAACTATGGGGCAGTTTCAGAAAAGAAATAACTACACAGTCATGGTCTACAAATTAGTTAATTACTGATGGACATTAACCATGACAGAGACATATCTATGTTATGAGAGACTACTCGATGTCTAAAATGGTGCTAATTCTTAAATGAATATTTTTGAAGAGTAGTTATTTTAGTATGTTATTTTAACAACCCCTATCATAACCATCTATTAAGAGTGTAGTAGCCTTTTCTCTGTTAATTAATACATATTTTATGCTCCAACATTATTCTACCTCTTAAAATTAAAATTATCCTAAAGACAGCTTTACCCAGACGGGGGAGGGAGGTGGGGTGGTGATGGTGGTGGTTTGTTTGGTAAGAAATAAGTGCAAACTGTTATTTTCTGTTTACATGTGATTTTGTTACTAGACTATAGAAATTGGCAAAATTGTGTGTGTGTGTGTGTGTGTGTGTGTAAGAAGGGAAGTGTAGGGGGTTGGCTATGGAGAGGATGGGGTGGGGGGAAGGGAAACACCAGACTGTTTGATGATAGCTTGGATGGTAGTGTGAAAAAATATAATCTTCTGCTGTCATCTGTTTCCATGAGAAGTCTCAAAATAAAGTTTAAAATAAGGAGTTTTGCTTCTGTTTAAACAGCCTCTGCGAGGGAAAAACCCTGTAGACCTCATTACAGTTGATTCCTTAATAGAACTTCAGGATTCTCAGAACCCCTTTCAGTACTGGATAGTTAGTGTGATTGAAAATGTTGGAGGAAGATTACGCCTTCGCTATGTGGGATTGGAGGAGACTGAATCCTATGACCAGTGGTTGTTTTACTTGGATTACAGACTTCGACCAGTCGGTTGGTGTCAAGAGAATAAATACAGAATGGACCCACCTTCAGGTAAAGGTTAATGCATGTAATAACATTTTAATGTGGACAATGTCTTCCAAAAGAATTTTCCCTCCTTAGAGTTAAATGAGTGTCCAGGTTCATTTTTTGGATCCTGGGAAATAAATTGATAAATAAAAAGATGTTTGAGACCTTGCACGGCCTTTACTATTTATAGCCACAAAATTTTATTTCACATGCTTCTCAAATCTTGCTGATTAAGCAAGGAAAAGCTGGGACTCAACGAGGAGCCATTTTGAACACAGGGTTTATAGTATCTACTGCATGATGTGCTTGTGGGACAGACTTCCTTGCTTCTTTGTATTCTGAACACAGATTGCTGAAGGTTAAGTATGCATTTTTTGAATAGCTTCTAAAGACTATAATCCTAGAATTCAGTAAATAATATGTGATAAAGAAGTGGCAAAAAAAAAACCTCCTACACCATTTAGTAAACATATACTGTGTGCACAATTCCTTTCTAGCCACCCAAATATTGGAATTTACAGTCTAATAGGAGATAAGAGATGGCAGCTCGGGTACAGTCAAAAGATCTGTGGCCAAATCCTGACTGATAACTTACTGTTTGTGTTACTTGGCAAATCACTTAATCTCTCTGGGCATAAGTTTCCTCATTTGCAAAATAAGGGGTTTCCACCAAAATGTGGTCTCTGAGAACCCTTCCAGCTCAAGATTTAGGATTCTGTCAGAAGTTGTAACATCACAGGAAATGAGAGTGGTGATCTGTTTGGATGAGAGTTAGAATAAGCCATTGAACAATATGGGAACATTTGAGCTTTCAGGGTTCTCTCCAGTGTTCTGGAGTTGTTCTTTTGGCACTTTTTTTTTAACCATTTATTACGAAACCTATTTTCAAACAGGTGCATATCATGTGTATGAGAAACACATTTATTATTGTCTGAAAGTATTATTATTGGATGAGACATTTTCAGTATCCTGTTAAATGTCTCATTGCTTATGGACCTTATCAACATTTGGATGTGAAACTTTCAGTTAGAAAGAAAGGAAGTTATTGAGGAATTAGAGATATAAGGAAAAATGTTCTTTCCTTTGAAAAAGCCAGCTTTGGAAAGAAGCTCAACTGCTTGGGGTTATTAAAGGCATCAGAGCATTTTCCTTAGGTATTAGTTTCTCAAACTAGGCAGCATAGTATAGTGGATAGAAGTTGGCTTTAGAGTCAGAAAGACCTGGTTTCAGTTCCTGACTGACCTATATTGTTTATGTGACCATGGACAAATCACTTAACTTCTCAGTTCTATAGGTACCTCTCTAGGACTGTAAGTACCAGAAGAGTTGTTAATCAGCATTAGCAGAGAAAAAAATTTTTTTATTGGGAGATCCCATTAAATCACAGGGTCAGATGTCTTCCCCCAGACCCCCAACTCCCTTCCTCCAATTAAAACTATAAAAGGAATTATTTAATCTATCTCTGATCATATAATACAAATCCAAATTTTTTTTCTGCAGCTGTTCCAAAGGACTTTTAATTGCAAAATATTTTCTTCCTAATTCTCTTCCCCTAAGTGTTTGTATTCCTTTTAAAATTTATGAGAGATTATAGAAATGTTAGGTGGTATTTCATTATTATTGTTGTTGGCAACATTTTGAAAGGCAGCCAAGAAATCTATTTATAATCTGAGTAATTTTGGAGTATAATAACAATCCATTTCCATAGGCAAAGAAACAAAGGGCATGTCAGTATTGTGAGGAAGTATCTAAGATTGGACCCCATGGAAAAGCCATAGCTTAGCAGAGAAAATTGTACTTTGTGGCTCTGTAAATATCAGTTCAGGATATAATTACCATAAAATTTTGGAAGAAATTCCTTTGCCATTCATTTCAAAAACTGATAACCAAACAAAGAATTATCAGTAGCTTGTTAAATGTTTTGTTATATCCCTAAGACTCTGAAATCATGAAATCACCTTCAGATAGAAGGAATAGAAAATGTTATCGTGAGATATTTGTCAATGGGATCTATTCCTTTTAGCAGTGAATACCTTTTTTAATATTAAAAAAATCTGATTCATTTTCTAAGACAAATGTAGTTCTTTTTTCTGTGGAGAGCTCATGGCAGTGCTTAAAGACATGAGAAGAGCCGGTCATCATCTGAAAGTTTTCTTTCAACATTTTAATAGGAAAAGAGGGTGGTATGAGAGGAAGAAAAGAGAGGAAATGGAAACACAGGCTCAGCACCTTTCAGTTCTTCTCCAAATATAGTAATTACAAAACGAAAACTTGGCTGTAATCTTATTAAGGCTATCAGCACCCATATGAGTTAGGAGGAAAGATATTATCTTTGTATTAAAAATGGGAAAATCAAGGAATCAGGTTGTTCCAAGTATTAAAAAAAATATTTTCATACAGGAACAAATGGAGTGTTTACATTATAATCTCATTTTCCTAATCCCAGAGAGAATGAATTACAGTTACAGGCTCCCTTCAGGTAGCAAGGATATTTTATCTGACCCCATTTACTGTTGAACAGATAAGTGTTGACTAGTCTGAGCTCTTCACTGGCTGATTGCAGACAGGTAGGGAGATGTGATGAAGATAGCCTGTAGTTGGTTGGAATTCTGCTACCTTCTCTCTACAGAATTAGCTATCTTTGCTCTGTGATTTAGTCAGTCATTTTTTCAGTCATGTCTGACTCTCTCTGACCCCATTTGGAGTTTTCTTGGCATAGATACTGGAGTGGTTTGCCTTTTCTTTCCCCAACTCATTTTACAAATGAGGAAACTAAGGCCAACAGGGTTAAGTGATTTGCCCAGGGTCACACAGTTAGTAATTATCTGAGGCCACACTTGAACTCAGGAAGATGAGCCTTCTTAACTCCAGGCCTGGCACTCTGTCCACTGCATCATGTTTTATACCCTTAGGGCTTAGTGTAGTATCTGGTGCATAATAGGTGCTTAATAAATGCTTATGATTGATTGTAGCTTTGGGATGAGCTACATTCTTTCAGATGTCTTTGTTAAGTTCCTGTTGAATAGAATTAGAGTTCTTTATTGGTGGCTTGATTGTGAGGGTGGTTGGGGCTCAGTGTTCTGTTATCTTTTTATTTCCCATTCTTCAGTTTTGTGTTTAAACTCAGCATTTCTGGTCTTCATCTGCACAGTAGGGATGTGAGGTTGCATGGTAGAGTATTATTTGAATTGGGCCATTTCTGTTCTCAAATATTCAGATTTAAGACTATAAGGCATGTGGATGGATACTTGCCTGACTAGAGTTATTAAGATTGACTCTGGGGGGACAGTCATCTTGATGTTTTGAGGTCTTTTCCTGATCGAGCATTCTATTTTTTTTAATGTGTATCCTTTTTTCTGATTTCTCTAGAATGATTGTTCCACCAAAACAATATGGTGTCAAATACTGTCATCTACCAGCCTTCAAGTTAAAATTTTTCTGAATAAGGAATTTGGTACCTGCCATGCATTCTTCCTCATCACTACTACCCTCATCCTTGGGGAATGTAGTGTACATGTTGGTGGCCCCTTAAACCTCTTTGCCACACCCAGCTTATTGACTTTTAATCCTATTACCTTTATTTTCATTCTTTGTAAGCAACCCCTCTTGTTCTTATCATGAGTTCCTATCCTTTTGTCTTTACCCTACTTTGCTCCCAAATCTGTTTTTCATTCTCATTATTACTACTCTGCTCACCGTTGACTAATTAATTGTGCATTGAGGTATTGCTTTTAAATCCCTTGACTGTCACCAATTAATTCCTGCCCATCCTCAAACCTACCATCTTTCTTTTCAGCTCCTGGTATTGCTGAGTGCCGTTAGAAGAAATCAGATAATCTTGCCAACTGAGTCTACTGCAAACCCATGCTATCTAATCTAATTTGGACCTTGATTGCTACATAATAATCCTTTTTTTTTCTTTTTGATTGATACTGACATGTTCCTCTCCCCTCAAGCCTTCTAAACTGATCCAGACACCACCTCCCTTTCTTATCTTTTTTTCTCCTTCTCCCCTTTTTCCCTCAGTCCCCAGTAGACAATCTACATGACTGCCTTACTGAGAGAATGAAGGACATTAGTTGTGATCATCCTTTAAAACCTCCCTACATCTTCACCTCCTTTGCTTTAGTCTCTGAGGACAAGGTTGCTTCTCTTTGCTTTTAAGGCCAGCGACTCCATCTATACTCTTTCTTCTCATCCTTTCCTCTTCCTTCCAGACGTTTGCTTCACCAATCCCTGTCTTCTCTTTAGTCACTCCCTTTCTTCTGACTCCTTCCCTGAAGCTTACAGACATTCACAGGTTTTTTTCCAGCCTTTAAAAACAAAGAAAGGAAACTCTTAAATTGATCTCACCATCCAATACGTCTTATGTTTCTCATTCCTTTTGTTGGCAAACTCCTGAATAGTTTGCGTTTGCTGTCCCTTCTTTCTTTCCATCCACTCTCATTTCAACCTCTTAAGTCTGGATTCTGAACGTACCACTCTACTGGAACTGGAGCTTTCTTTGATGTCTTCATTCTTCTGTGCAGTGACTTCTCATTGGTCCTTCTCCTCGACTCCGGCTTTTGACACTGTTGTTCACCATCATGGAGTGATTCTTCGATCTTCTTCTCTCCCTTGGCTTATGTGGCTTAGAGGCAGCTAGGTGGTGCAGTGGAGAGAGCACTGGACCTGGAGCCAGGAAGGCCCAAGTTCAAAAGTGACCTTGGACACTAACTTTGTGACCCTGGGCAAGTCACTTACTCTCTGCCTGCTTCAGTTTCTCCATATGTAAAAATGGGGATGATAATGGCACCTACCTCCCAGGGTTGTTGTGAGGATGATGAAATAGTCTTTGTAAAGTGCTTTGCAAAAAGTGCTATATAAATACTAGCTATGATTTTTATTATTATTTCTGTTTTATTCTATTATTATTATATATAAACATATATTATTATTTATAATTATATTTTATTATTTCTTTTCTAAACTGGTTCTCTTATATGCCTGACCATTCCAATTTCTTTTGCTGTTTCATTATACAT